GTAATCTCTGGCAACCAATCAGTAGCGGTAATAATGTGCAGTAACCTCTAGCAACCAATATATGAACAGTAGTGATCTGCTGTAATCTCTAGCAACCAATCAGTGAGCAATATTGATGTTCTGTAACCTCTAGTAACCAGTTAGCAGTAATGATGTTCAGTAACCTCTTGCAGCCAATCAGAGAGTGGTAACAATGTGCAGTGACCTCTAGAAACCAATGGGTGAGCGGTAATGATGTGCAGGAACCCTAGCAACCAATCAGTGAGTGGTAATGATGTATTGTATCCTCTAGCAACCAATCAGCAAACAAAAATCATGCGCTGTAACCTCTAGCAACTAATCAGTGAGCCATGATGATATGCTGTAACCTCCAGCAACCAATCGCAATTGCTGCCTGATCTGCTGCACTAAACTGATTATGAGTCTAAAATAGTTGCTATATATTGTGTGTCATAGAGCAGGTAGAGAGCAGCCCTGTCCAGGAAGCCACACAGACAATGCAGAAGTCCAAGCAGTGCAAAAAGCAAAGCACAGTTCAATGAATCTCCTAGCAAGGCCTACAGCCATGAGCTGCTCTCTCCATTCTGACTTAAGCTCTGAACGTTCTAAGAGTTTTCTCCCAACATAGGGACATTATATTGTCCTTTCAATTTGACCAAACCTCAAGTCCCCCAGTGCCGACACGTCTGGCTTTTCCCTGCCGCAGGACACCATTCTGTCTGTGCCTGACATCAACCTCATCTCCCATTCCCCCCCACAGGAACTCATGGATTTAATTAAGCAGACAATCCGACTGCTTGACCCACTTGTTGATTTCAACAAAACTACACAAAAATACAATAATATTTCTGATCTCTGTCACATAGAGTTAAGGAGTGCAGAGGTTAGCAGGGAAATTTAGGATGCAAAGGTGTACTGACAGGGTGATAAAGAGGTATTTAACGTGCAGGGCAGCCCATTCATTTCAATGGGCTGCTCTGTGTGCTAGATATGCAGGTAAAACAGTACCTGACCCTTTTATAAAATCACACCGAACCACACTGTGCCACATCACTGTGAATTTTGGTGTGAAAACACGCACATCATCACATGCGTGAGGGTGTCATTAACAGCTATGCATGCGTTCCCTACATGCACAAATGTGAACATAGGCTAAATTTCTCACTTACATTGGTGGTCAGTGTATATCACTGACCTCTCATTATATAAATGGTCAGTGTGAATGTCCACCTTGCATTGGTGGTCAGTGTAAATCCCCTTTACATTGGTGGCCAGTGTAGAATTGTATTGGTTGTTGGCGCAAAATCCCCCATTACATTGGTGCTAAGTGCACAATTGCCCTTACACTGGTGGTAAGTGTAAATCCACCTTACTCTGGTCATCAGTGTAAATCCCCTCTTATATTGGAGGTCAGTGTAGAAATGTCACCTCCCATCCCCATCCAGCACTTCCACTGATCCCATCCAGCCCAAGCACTGCCACTGATCCCATCCACCCCCAGCACTGACACTGATCCCAGGAGTCCTAGGATCCCTAGGTGCTTTCTGGCTGTTGGTGGGTCCTCTCACCTTCCCAGTCCATGGTGTGCAGGCAGTGAGGAGATGGTGTGCTGTAACCTTCAACAACCAATCAGTGAAATGTAATGAAGTGCTGTAACCTCTAGAATCCCATCAATGAGCTGTAATGACTGTAACCTCTTGCAATCAATAAATAAGTGGCAATTATGCTTAGTAACCAAGAGCAACCAATTAATGAGCAGTAATAATGTGCAGTAACCTCTAGCAACCAATCAGTAAACAGTAGTGATCTGCTATAATCTCTAACAACCAATCAGTGAGCAATTATGATGTGCAGTAACCTCTAGCAACCATTCAGTTAGCAGTAATGATATGCAGTGACCTCTAGCAACCAATCAGTGAGCAGTACTCTCTAGTAGTCAATCAGTGAGTGGTAATAATGTGCAGTAACCTCTAGCAATCAATCAATGACTTGTAATGATGAGCAGTAACCTCTAGCAACCAATCAGTGAGTGGTAAGGATGTGCAGTAACCTCTAGCAAAAAATCAGTCAGCAGTAATGATGTGCAATAACCTCTAGCGACCAATCAGCAAGCAGAAATGATGTGCTGTAATATCTAGCAACTAATTGCTGCCTGATCAGTTGAAGTAAACTGGTTTTGAGTTTAGTTGCTATTTATTGTATGTCTCAGAGCAGGTGGAAATCGAAATTGCATGGGGGGGGCAAGAAAATGTTTGCCCAAGGTCCAATCAATATTAAAGATGGCCCTGAGTTCAGGACTTGAAATTTTGAGAACTGATATAGAGGTTGGTATAAATATCTCAATCTCAGTGTTTGCTGATGATACAAAGCTAAGTAGGGCAATTGACTTCAGAGAAAGTTATATAAACCTTACAAGAAGACCTCAATAAAATAAATGAGTGGGCAGCTACATGGCAATTGAGGTTAAATGTTGAAAAATGTAAAGAATTGCACTTGGGAGGGCTAAAAATGTAAATGCAAGGTGCAGGGGCAGAACCTTGGGGGGATCTAGGATGGAAGATGACAGACGCAGCAAAGGGATGCAATGCCAAGCTGCAGCAAGCAAAGCTAGCAGAATATTAGCATGCAAAAAAAGGGAATTTACTCAAGAGATAAAATGATATTCCCGCCAATTTATAAAACTCTGGTTCGGCAACATTTGGAGTTTGTTATCCACTTCTGGTCACCGGTCCTCAGGATGGATCTGCTGGAACTGGAGAGGGACCAGAGAAGAGCAGCACAGTTAATAAGGGGACTGGAGGACTTTAGTTATGAGGAATGACTACAAGCATTAAACTTATTCTCCCTGGAGAAGAGATGCTTGGGAGGAGATATTATAGCAATATACAAAGATCTTAATGGTATTTCTAGCATAGGGAATAAACTGCTCAGTATCAGAGAGTGTAAGAAGACACGGGGCCACTCAATGAAATTGGAGGAGAAGTGGTTTAACCTTAAACTGTATAAGGGGTTTTTCACTGTCAGGGCGGTAAGGCTGTGGAACTCCCTTCCACAATTGGTGTCAGCGGGAAGTATTGATAGTTTAAAAAAAATTCTTAGATGGGCATCTTAACAAACACAATATACAGGGATATAGGATATGATTTTTTTACATGAACGCACACACAGATTGAACTGGATGGACTGGTGTCTTAATTCAGCCTTACTAACTATGTAACTATGTACCTCTATCCATATTCATTCAGTTGTTTACTTCATTAACCACCTTTGGTTATTGCAGATTACAAATTATTAGATGTGATGGCTGCACTGGTTTTCTTTTTTAGGCTTTCTTTCTTTGATTTTCACCAGGTGATCAGCCAGAAAGTCTGTTGTTATTCAAAAGAACAGACTGTCCTGCAGATGTATGAGTTAGACTGTTGAGACAAACCATTTACCGCTGACAGGGGTGCTTACAAGTATCAGCTTGTTTTTATTTATGTAAAACCTTTATCCAATAAGGAAAAAACAAACTGTTACTGTAACTGATTATAAAGTATTAGCTGGAATGTGGCTTCAATTTGTAAGTGTATCTAAATATGTTTGTACATCTAACACTTTTTTCCCTCCAGACTGACCATGATGCTGTCCAAAGGTGCCCCCCATGCTCCTTTATCCAGAGTGGGGGCACTCTAATACAGGGAGGTGTGTTACTGGCCAGATCAACAGGTGAAAACAGAGGGGAAAAAGGAAAAAGAAAACGAATGCAACAACTACATCTAATGATAGACGCTGCAATATATCACATTTTTGGTTTGGGTTTAAAAGAGAAGTGGGGGAATACAAAAAAATAAAAATTTATACTCATCTAGACTACTGCAGCACTGACCCTAGCTGTCCCCCGCCCACCGCTGATCGTGGAATGCTTTTAAAACTGCATCCAATTCGCATGACATGTGAAATAACATTGGTTTCTATTGTGCCTGTTCACATATATGTGGTGCAACCAGAGTGCAGATTCAGGGTGAATTGAAAAAGAGTCCTGTCAGTTTCCTGAACAGTGCGGTTTGGCTCAGGTGCAAATTCAAGCTCATTGACTTCTATGGGGACACTTCTGAATCGCACATGTCATCAGTTGTGAACCGGATAAAACCCTGACCTGATCCTGTCCTGAACCTGGTGTAAACCTGACCTGAACCTCTGAACGACTACTTTTACTGTCAATTGTCTGTGAAAATGGAGCTCCAATTCGCACTACACATGTGAATCAACGCTTCTCCGGGTATTTGCTCTGCCCCTTCAGTTCTTACTGGAACACCGGGCTGTGAAAGGGGCAGGAGGGGCTGGCTCAGACTCTCAGTGGCATGCTGAGAGGCTAAGTTAGTTGCCGGTTCAGGCATCTTGGTGGATCCTGACTGTAAAGTTGGGATCTTTCCCGAGCTTGATCCACCTGAGTGATGTCAGCCGACATCGGGCTGAAGACAAGTCACAGGAGTGCAGAATACACTGCACTCCTGTAATCCATAGAAGAAGTACGGCTAAATGAGCTTTGGCTATATAGTGCTTCCCCTTTAACACCACTGCCCTCCTAAGGATTTACCCCCCCCTTTCCTGACAGGCGCTGCGTTAATTTATCTGACAATTGTGTGGTCATGCAACACTGCACCCAAATGAAATTTACGTTTTTTCTTTCCCCACAAATAGAGCTTTCTTTTGGTGTATTTGATCACCCGTGCGCGGTCTTTATTTGTTGCGCTATAGAAAAAAAAATGACTGACAATTTTGAGAAAAAACAATATTTCTAACTTTGTCCTATTAAGCATGTCCAGTAAAAAAAAAAAATCTAATTTTCATCATAAATTTAGGGCCAAAATGTATTCTGCGACATGTCTTTGCTACAAAAAAATCCCAATATATGTGTAAATGAATTGGTTTACGTGAAAGTTATAGTGTTTTCAAATGGCGGTATATATACTGGGATTTTTTATTTTATTTGTTATTTTTACTAGCAGTGGCGGCAATCAGCGACTTATGGGCAGGACTACGGTGGGCATTCTGACACTGGGGGGAACTGACTTGGTGTCACTGACAACCCCAGTGACACCAATACAATGATCAGTGCTAATAAAAAGCACTGGCAGTGTACTAATGGCACTGGGCAGGAAGGGGTTAACATCGGGGGCGATCAAAGGGTTAACTGTGTGCTGTTTTACTGTGGGGCTGTGTGTGTGTGTTTTCAATGTAAGCACACTGCTTTGCATGGCTCTGCTATGCAAAGCCATGCATAGCAGTGTGCAGGAGCTGACAGGGGAGAAAACTGTATTGTTTACTTACAGTTCTCTCCCTCCATTGGTAATGCTCCTCCATCACCAGGTGACGACAAGCAATCACCTGCCAGGACCCGGTGATTGACAGCCGAGGCCACGAATAGCGGCGCAGGTAGGGCATGTGTACGGCTCGTAAGCACCCCCTACCCAGAAATGCAAAATTACGTATATACATGTGATTTTGCGCACCCATGACGCCCTGTAGCTGTATTATTGCCATAGGGTGGACGGGAAGCAGTTAATAAAGCTTTAAAGGACCAACAGAGAAAATAGCCTAATATTATAGGACAAGAACATTTGACCAGCAGGGGAAATAATAGTAGGGAAACATCAGCACGGCACTGAGTAAACGGAGGTATAGCTGAGTGAACCTCTAAGTCCGGAGTTAAAGAAAAACTAAACATTGTAAAACTTACCTTTCTTCCAATTATCTCCATCCCTGGCCAGCGTCAACATCTTCTGCATGCCAGTCTTCATTGGCCGGTCCTTGCGCAGGAGCCAGTCATCGCAGCACACAGGGATTTGGCCAGTACTCTAAGCTAGGCTGCACATGCACAGCTCAGTTTTCATGCTGGAGAGCGCTACCAGCAGGCGGGTAGGTGCATTTTATTGCAGAAGACACACTGTATGAAAAAAGGAAATTAATAAAAGCTGATCATTGTAAGCACCCCTGAGGGTAATAAATGGTTTATCTCATCCCTGTGATACATCTGAAGTAGAGCTTGTTCTTTTGAAAAACAGACGCACTGGCTAAATCTCCTGGTGAAAATATGTAACAGAAAGAAAACCTAACAAAGAAAACTAATGCAGCCATCACATCTAACAATTGGTAAGCTGCAATATAATAAATGTTTAATTGTAGTTGATACCGCTTTAATGATGATGGAAGGTCAGTGAAGCTTATTTCCCTGTGCTATTTCTAGATATGATGTATAGATCCCTACCTAACCCCACTTACCTCTTGGAGATAGCTGAATATTGGGGACACTAGTATTGAAGGTAATAAAATAGCATTCCTGGAGGAGCATTCAATTCGTACGTATTCATGATGTTTTTTTCTCATTTTCATGCAGGGTACAGAGTGAAGATGTCAAACTATGCCTTGGTTAATTATGCATTAGGTAGTATCAGAGGAAGCAGAAAAGTGGTTTCAATAGAACACAAAACAATTATAGAGTGAAAATTATAAGAATTCCTCAAGTGTGGCCCCAGACATTCCCAGAGGGCCGCACAAAAATATGTTTTCATGCATTAAGATCTTTTGCATTGAGTTAGGCAGTCCATTCAAAAGTAATGGGCTGTAACACACCATCAATTTTGGTTCTGCTGCACTTTTTGAAATATACAGCAACGAAAGCAGAAGAGAAAGTGACAATAAAACAAGCCCTATCATTAGTGTTGTCAGATGCATTAATAACCCCCTACACTAGTGTCTGTGGCTGCTGTAGTAACCCCCAGCATTGGTTACAGTGGGTGCAACATTAACAGCTGGTATCACTGGCCTCATAACCCCCCCAGCATTAGTGTCAGAAACCACAATAATAAGTCTGAGGATGTGTTAGTGTGCACAAAAGTTATTCCCAGCATTGATGTCAGTGATTGCAATATTACCCTTCAGCATTGGTGTAAGGGATCACAGTAATAACCCCAGCATCAGTTTCAAAAACCACAACAATTCTCAGCTTGTGTTACTAAATGAAATAATAGCCCCAGAATTGGCTTTAGGGACAAAAACATTAAACCCCAGCACTGCTGTCAGTGGGCATGCCAATAACCCCTCAGCATTGGTGGCAACAGCCATAATAATAACCCCCAGTATTAGTGTAAGAGGCTGCAGTAATATCCCCCAGCATTGTAGACTGAAAGGTATATTTAATATTAAGTGGGATTTTTGAGGCAAAACACTTCTGTTTTTTAAATACATACTGTACTTGCCCTTTTATTCTATTACTTCTATCACATTAAAAAGAGTGTTAAATCATTTATATTTTACAAAACATTGACAGCAAAAAAAAAATAAAATAGAATGAAACAATACACCCAGGGTTGGTTATAGACTATTTTGCGCCCTAGGCAAGACCAGCTACTCGCAACCCCCCCCCAAAATAAAACTGTACACACTGCTCCCCTTCCTGCACATAATGCCCCCCCTTTACCCCTACACCCCCCTTCCTGTATACTTTGCCCCCCTTTCCTGCACACACTGTGCCCTTTAATGCTACACCCCCTTCCTGCACATACTTTCTCCATTTAATGCTAAAACCCACTTTAACCCTACACCCCCTTCCTGCACACACTGTCCCCTTTCAACGCTACGCCCCCCCCTTCCTGTACACACTGGTCCCCTACCTGCACACACAACCCCCCTTTAACGCTACACTACCCCCTTCCTGCACACACTGTCCCCTTTTAACCCTACACCCTCTTCCTGTACACACAACCCCCCTTTAACGCTAAACCCCCCCCTTCCTGCACACACAACCCCCCTTTAAACGCTACACCGCCCCTTCCTGCACACACTGTCCCCTTTTAACCCTACACCCCCTTCCTGTACACACTGGTCCCCTTCCTGCACACACAACCCCCCTTTAATGCTACACCCCCCCTTCCTGCACACACTGTCCCCTTTTAACGCTACACTAACCTTCCTGCACACACTGTCCCCTTTTTAACGCTACACCCCCCTTCCTGCACACACTGTCCCCTTTTAACCCTACACCCCCTTCCTGTACACACTGTCCCCTTTTAACGCTACACCCCCCTACCTGCACACACTGGCCCCCTTTAACCCTACACCCCATTTCCTGCACACACTGCTCTCCTTCCTGCACACACTGTCCCCCTCTAATGCTAAACCCCCCTTTTAACCCTACACCCCCTTCCTGCACACACTGCTCCCCTTCCTGCACACACACTGTCCACCTCTAATGTTAAACCCCTGCACACACTGGTCCCCATTAACTCTACACCCCCCCTTCCTACACGCACTGCTTCCCTTTCTGCACACACTGCCCGTCTTTAATGCTACACGCCTCCTTTATGTACACAGTGCACCCCTTTAACCCTACACCCCCATCCTGCACACACTGCTCCTTTTCCTGCACACACTTCCCCTCAAAACGCTACAACCTCCCCCTTCCTACACACACACTGCCACCCTTTAATGCTACATCCCCCCTTCCTGCTCACACTGCCCCCCTTAATCCTATGTCTTCCTTCCTGCACACACTGGCCCCCTTTAACCCTACACCCTCCTTCCTGCACACACTGCTCTCCTTCCTGTACACACTGCCCCCCCCCCCCCCCCTTAACCCTACACCCTCCTTCCTGCACACACTGCTCCCCTTCCTGCACACACTGCCCCCCTTTAACCCTACACCCCCTTCCTGCACACACTGCTTCCCTTCCTGCACACACTGCCTCCCTTTAATACTACACGCCGCCTTTTATGTACACACTGCCCTCCTTAACCCTATGTCTTCCTTTCTGCACACACTGGCCCCCTTTAACCCTACACCCTCCTTCCTGCACACTCTGCCCCCCTATAACCCTACACCCCCCTTCCTGCACACACTGCTTCCCTTCCTGCACACACTGCCCCCCTTTAACCCTACACCCCCCTTCCTGAACACAGTGCTCCCCTTCCTGCACACACTGCCCCCCTTTAACCCTACACACACCCTTCCTGCACACACTGCTTCCCTTCCTGCACACACTGCCCCCCCCAAATCTACACCCCCTTCCTGCACACACTGCTTCCCTTCCTGCACACACTGCTTCCCTTTAACCCTACACCCCCCCTTCCTGCACACACTGCTTCCCTTCCTGCACACACTGCCTCCCATTAACCCTACACCCCCCCTTCCTGCACACACTGCCCCCCTTTAAAACCCTACACCCCCCTTCCTGAACACACTCTGCTCCCCTTCCTGCACACACTGCCCCCCTATAACCCTACACACCCTTCCTGCACACACTGCTTCCCTTCCTGCACACACTGCTTCCCTTTAACCCTACACCCCCCTTCCTGCACACACTGCTTCCCTTCCTGCACACACTGCTTCCCTTCCTGCACACACTGCCTCCCATTAACCCTACACCCCCCTTCCTGCACACACTGCCCCCCCCCTTTAATGCTACATGCCTTCTTTATGTACACACTGCCCCCTTCAACCCTATACCCCGCTTCCAGCACACACTTCTTCTTTTCCTGCACACACTTCCCCCGATAACGCTGCCCCCTTAACTCCACACCCTCCCTTCCTGCACACACATTGCCCCCCTTAACCCTACGTCCTCCTTCCTGCACACACTGTCCCCCTTTAACCCTACGTCCTCCTTCCTGCACACACTGTCCCCCTTTAACCCTAGGGTTAAAGAAGGGTTTAGCATTAAAGGGGGGGCAGTATGTGGAAGAAGGGGGTGTAGTGTTAAAGGGCACAGTGTGTGTAGGAAGGTAAGGAATCTAAAACAAAAGTCTACCTATCAAGCATACTATAATGGTAAGCAGCATACAGCTTGTTCAGAAAGCGCATATAATGCAATCCCTGCTAATTACCTTAATAGATGTATGCCACAGAAAAAAAGGCCTCCTACCGTCTTAAAAAGTCTAGATGATCCAAACACCAGATCTCCAAAAATTCCTTTACTGTGGTAGAAAAATCACCTTAGAGCACAAAACTCTAAAATAAAAAAAGGATGGCACAGAATAAAAAAGGCGCCCCACTGATAAAGATTTACTTCCAGCCCAGCTAGTATATAGTACTCTGGTACTCATCTGAGGTAACACGTGCAGGAACTTCACCAAATACTGCATGTATAGGGATAACATTACCACCTGCACTGGAGGAAAGGGTTGTCAGTAGGCGCAACAATAATAATAATAATACTCGGCACAATATAATCTTTAACCACTTCCCCGACCGTATATAACACTGGCCGTTGTATATAAACGGCCGGACGGTGGCAGTGCAGGGTCGGGTGGCCGTTTATAAACGGCCGCCCGCATCCGAGGCTCGTGCGCGGCTCCTAGAGCGCGCACC